GTTTGTGGGTTTTGTTTATAGGCTTCGTATATAGGCTATTACTTGCTTGGAGTCAGTGGGGTCGACTGGGGTCGAGAGAAGAACTACGTTTTCGTTTCTTTTTTGTATTGGAGGGGCTAGAGGAACTAGGAACTGTTTGTTTGGGAGGAAACATAGTTTGTTCTGTTGCGGGGTTTTCCTTATATTGAAGGTTCTTATCGTTTATAGATGGATACAGATGAGCGTGGCCTCTTCTGTGAAACTTGAGAAGTTAGACATAATTTATCTGTCATATAGATATTTTCAGATATTGTATCATTTTGCAATTTACTGGGGAAGAAGACGGATCAGATAGATTTGTTTGGGAGTGAGACGATTCAGAATGAAATGGAAATTGTGTATTATGTTGCTGTGGCGTTCATTCGGTGGGGGGACTTAGGTCATGAGAAAGAGTAGGATTTTCAAATGATAAGTTGTCAGATGAAGTATTGGGACAATTAGAAGCAACACGACCTGATTGTTTGCATAAGAAACATTCCATCTTGTCCGTAGACAGAAAAATTTTATTATTATTGCATTCAAAAAGATATACTTGACTGCAAAAGCTAAGAATGCTAAGGAAGATAAGGAAGGACACGCGGGAGGCTATTTGGAAACCAAGACTCTTTACTGCATTTTCGGCCAGTTCATGGGAAATATAAGGAGAGATGTTCGAAATTAATATTCTTTTTGTTGGGGAGACAAGTTTACAAAAACTTAAAATAAGGCGTCCAATTTGAACGGTTGGGTGGCAGGGTGGGATTCCAGAAGTTGATCAACGAGATTTGAGTTCGTTAGATATATGTAGATCCTATTGTTAGATATTCTGAATGCAAAGGAAAAGTTTTTTGGTCCGATGATATCACCAATGGCTTTAAGGTAGTCTAGAGGTTTAAAATTTTCTTCAGCATGGAGAACTATCGCTTGTTCTTTTTGTGGAAAAGATGGTTTTGGTGTACATTTTGCAGCGGTTACGTATGAAAGAGATGTAGTTGCTGGAATGTTGTTTGTAGCAGTTTGAAGGGCCATGGTTAAGGTAGAAACTGTAGGAATGTTGTTTATATTTGTACTGTCCATGTAGATACAAACAGTAACCTCGTTTAATTTCTCTTTTTTAACTGGTTTTGCTATCAAAATTTGTATTAAAATCCATTGAATTGGATGGGCAGCAAGAACCAACAGACTGGTAAAACCAGTCTCTGGTATGCACTTTGGATAAATTAAATATTATTTATATTATTTAATAATATAATGAAAGCAATACATACAAAACTAGTCCAGAAATCACTTTTAGAAATTACACTATTAAAACTAAATTAGGCACTAATTACTGCCGATACGGCAAATTTCTTAATAACGAATATACTTTAATGAAATATTTTTCGTAGCTGTTTTAAAGTACTCTAAATCCACAGGCATAGAAATTTTTAATAAAAAAATCGTTATTAAAAATTCCCTATTTTCGGCTAAAAAGTTTTTGGACTAAAAGAAAAAGTATCGTAGTATGCCTTGGAAGTTTAAATAAATATTTTAAGTTTTGTCCCCAAGTAGATTTTGTGTTACATGGCATTTAAAAATAATTGGTAAATCAGTTAACTTCAAATTTTGTAAATGTGTTTATAGAGGAGTGGGTCACACTGTATACACGTATTTACTATTTTTCACTATTTACTATATCAAAAGTAATCTAAAGTAATCAATACTTTCATTTTATTTGAAATGTTTTCTTTAAAAATTGAACAAAAACAAACAAATAAAAGATAGATATTTTTCCCAAATGAAAATATTTTTTCTTGTTTCAACGAGCTCCAACTTCAAGAATTAGGTTTCTAACCGGTTCAATAAATTCTGGTTCAATCATGGACCAATACAAAATATTTGAGTTTCTGTGAATTTATCGCAAAAAGAGATAGAATCCTCGAGAAAAACTTCTAAACCTTATCAGTGCGAGTCGAGGGAAAGAAGGAAACTAATGACACGAAAAAAGGAACGTGAACTTTAATTTTCTTCAGGATTTCATCACTATAAATCTACTTTAACCAAAAGTAAATGCGCTACGGTATTATTCTTTTTATTTTAAACGAGTACGCATTCTAGGAAATATTAATACAATATCTGTGTGCTTTTATATTTGGCCCAGGTATGGAATGAAAGTTATATTCTTTAGAATCCGCATCGAACAGTATTTGAAGTCAATTTAACCTATAATTAAAAAAAGATTGCTACAGTAGGCGGTGCTATAGACTAGCACGAAGCTTCATACTATGTTTCTGTATTTTTAAATAAAAAAAAAATATATAAAACATTTGAAAAATTAAAATAACGAATTATGGTCAGTTTTTACATTTTGTATGCCTATCGGTCACCCCCTCGTTAGGTATACAAATAGACTCTTCCGACTGTGACTGTTTTCCGATGTGACTGTTAAAATTTTTTTAAAAATTCAAAATTAAAAATGTTTTACTAATTGTATTTATATGAAATTATGAAAATATAAAAAATCTCATTTGATAGTAAATCGAATTATTATATAAACTAAATGAGAACTAAAAAATAACACGTTATAAAACAGTGTAACAGTAAGCGTTACTGTAGACTAGCACTGAGCTTCATACTATGTTTTCTGTGTTTGTAAAATTTAAATTATATAGTCCGTCTAGAAAGTATCCGGAAAAAAGAAAGCAGAGTTATAATTTTACTATATTTATTTCAATCATTTGAAATATAAAATTTCAACAAATAATTCATCCCATTTACTTATATAACCTCCATTTAAATATAAACACTTAACTAAACCTCCTGGTACACCCGAAACTAGGTCAAGGCCATAATTTTCGGTAGGTAATGGTGTTACAGGCCTGTAAAACTGACCGAATCAAACCTTCTTTATTTCGTGGCGCTGCTCGTCCCACTTAATTTTCATCAGTACCCATATGTTTTCAATGGATCTGGAGGAGGTGCTGGCCACGGAATTGTTCCCAATTCGTGTACTTGCATCCAAGCTTGAATATAACCAGAAGTATGACATCTTGCATGATCTTGCTGAAAACGCCACCCCTCTAGATAGAAAACATGAGCCGTTTCAAAAAGAAAACCATTTAGGATGTCACAATATTTCGCACTATCAACAGTACCATAACTATACGGAAAGGTGTAGCACCACACTGATACATTGTTCCCCAAACCATTATTTCAGTGGGAAATTTGGAAATTTGAACGGTAACATTTTCTCTTGATAGGACTTTTAAATGATTTGCACCAAGCTGTAAACAACTTTCATCAGATATAAAGACTATAAGATTATTAAAATTATCTTCCCGAAAACGTTGACAAAAATCTATTCTTCGTTGCCTTTGCAGAGGTGTCATTGTGGTGATTTTTTTTGGATTCCTTGATATGTAGCCTTGCTTTTTCAGTGACATGCAAACAGTTTCTGGACACACTTTTATTCTTCGTTGATTTCCAAATCTGTACGCTAATTTTCGAAACCCTAGACGCGGATTTTGTCGTCCCAAAGCCACTAAAGCATTTAAATTGTTTCAGCGAATCTTACGCGGTTTACCTGAAACTGGTCTGTCTCATATCTATCCCATTTTTTATCCTTTTTATTGTCTCATACACTGCACTTTTTCCGAGTTCAGTCAACTGCACTAATTTTTTAACGTTTCAGATACCCTTTCTATATAAATATTCCACCACTTTATTATTCTTATTATTCTTTTTTCTACTTGCGACATTATTTCACAAATCTTAAGTATGTTTACAAACAACAATATTTGACAGATGATATTGTCATGCGATTTTGTCTATAACCTACTATCGGCACAACCTTCTTGATGCATTACTTTTGTCTTAAAATGTTATAAAAAGGAAATCTATTAAAATTAGGAAAAATATAAAATTCCGGATACTTTCTAGACGGACTATATATTTAAAATTAAATAAAGTAATTTTAATATTTATTAATTTTTTATATCTTAAACAAATTCCACAAAGAAGCTAAAGTCCTGCAGTTGGCTATGTACCAGGGGTGGCCAACTTAATCGGACAGTAAATCTACTGTCTGCCTTTTTAATTCTTTGCGATCCACCGACTAGGAATTTTTGAACTATACTGGCGAGCAAAAAAACTTTTAATTCAGAATTTTAACGTGAAAAGTGAGCTGGATATCTCAGAGTCACTCACTATATTTCAGAAAATCAATCATCGATTCTCAAAAAACCGATTCGACTTGGAACGCTAAAATTCTGTATGGATTAGTTTAATTGCTGGCCAGTGTGTATTAGTAATACGTAAATAAAAATAATAAAATAAAAATACCTTGGAGCATGGACCACAGAACATACTGATCAGACAAAAGAAATAAGATGCCGCATTGAAATTGCGCGGTCAACTTTTAATAGAATTAGAAAACTTTTTTGTAATCGCGATATCAATATATCGCTCCGGATAAGAATGCTTCGAAGTTATATTTTCTCTACCCTTTTGTATGGAGTTGAAGCTTGGACACTTAAAAAATCCAACATTAAAAACCTAGAAGCATTCGAAATGTGGTGTTACCGACGTATTTTGAAAATATCATGAATAGTTTGGATGCAGTTCAATTGAACTATTCAGGCGAGTAACCAATAAAATTATAATTGCCAGAATGATTTCCAATCTCCGATAGGAGTTTAACTTGAAGAAGAAGAAGAAGAAATAAAACAAAAATAGTAATTCTTATTCGTTTATTAAATAAAACTATATTAAATAAAAAAAAATAAAGTGAGATTTGCGTTTGAATAGTTTATGCTAAGTTCTTAAGGTCTGGCCTGAAGTTGGAAATGGCCAACCTTAAAGAATCCAATGTATGAGCATTAGTCAAGCTAATTCACATAAATAGGTTGAAACAAAAGATGACTGCAGTTCTTCAGCACATTTTTTTTTATTTATGTCATTGCACACCAATGGCCAGAAATCTAGATGTGAGCCTGACCTCGATTTCAAAAATACATCGCAGGGCATAGCAATTGTTTCATTTTCAAGAATAGTTGGTCCATTTGGAATATCTCTGCAAATTGATTGAATATTTCAAAGGTGTCATGAATAGTATCATTAAATGGATAATTGATAAATTCGACGAACTTTTCAATTTTATTGAAATCTCCAAAATGGATTTCAAAGCCTGATACCACTGATTGAATTTCTGCTGTATACTTCTGTGGCTTGAAAACATAGGGATGGTGTTTTTCCAATTGATATTCAGTGTTCGTAAATCTTAGAAACCTTTTCTTTTCAATATCAACTATTAAAGATACTACTTGAAGTTTGAATGATGCAATAGAACTTATCATTTCTAATAATGTTTTTGTTCTATAATGTGCTATTATTCTTGCCTTGCAGTTCCAGATTCAATGTGCTTAGTTTAACAGTCAAATCTACTAGAAATGCCAAATCCCATTGCCAGTCTAAGTCACGTAATTGCTGACGATCATCACCCATTTCTTCAAGAAATTTAATGATGTCATTTAACAAACAAATCCCACAACCTTTGCAAAAACTTGCTGCAACTTAGCCACCTTGCATCGATGTGTAAGATTAAATCGGGTTCTTTGCCATCCAGTTATTGCTTAAACAGCCGTCATTGCAGATATTTGACTCTTGTTGAATTGCAGAATTCAACAGAATCTTAAATGCAATATCCATCACGTCTTTTGTGTTAAAACTGTTATTGGTCAAGATTTGTTGATGAATAAGGTAGTGGTAATTAATGAATTCCGGGAAATCTTCATCTTTTTGACATAGTGATATAGATCCATTACTAACACCAATTATTGCCGGTGCCCCTTCTCTCGTTATTGAAACAAGCTTAAATAAAGGTAAATTAATTTTACCGACAAAATGTTTGAATTCGGTGAATAAAGCAATGCCACGTATTCTGCCTTTTAAGGATATCTTTGTTAGCAACTTTTCTCTTGTTGAGAAATCATCAAAGAATATCCGAATGCAAGTAAGTAACTGTGCAGTATCCATGATATCCGTCGACTCATCAAGCTGTAACGAAACAGCAACGTACCGGAGTATATCTCTTTGCAGTTGTTCATTAAGATTTTTACTAACAATTCTATACGACGCACCACAGTATTTCTTGACAGCTACAGATCATGTTTACTTTTTTTACTTCATTTTTATTTTTGAAATTAACAAACAGTTAATCTGACTAATCTTCGAATATTTCTTTGACATATTCTTCATCAGAAAAATGCTTACACTTTTGCGCAATTTCATAACAAACTAAGAATGAAGCTTCAATTACAGCCTTAGACTGTTTATTCGGCTTACAGAATATATTTTTCTCGGCAGTCGAAAGAGATTTTAATACTTGAAGTTTATTCTTTCTCACTTTACTCTTAATCGGGCTACATCACAGAATGTTTTCATCGTACAGAATGTTCATCAAAATAGAAAAAGAAATTAGACAAAAGGCAGGCTGAACAATGAAAAAACAAACGAGTAAATATACAGAGGATTTAACAAGAAAATTAGAAACTTTTGAGATTAAGGATATCGAACACATCTGGAAAAAACATCAAAAAAGTAGGTATAATTGAAGTAGCAGAAAAACCAATTGAACAAAAAAAAAGAGATAAACGCAAAAGAATGTTTTGACGATGATAAAACATTAAATTTTGGAAGAAGCATTATAATAACAAGGCAGTTGTTAAATTTTTGTTTACATATAGAAATATACCATCGACGGTTACAGGCATTAGCCCATCAGAGAACTTATTTAAAGTTAAGCCTAGAACGCGATTTGATTTAAATAAACCTAATAATAAAACTCGTATTGCAAAATCACGTTCGTCCAATGGTATAAAACTATATAATATTAACGAAGTTGTATATGTAAAGAATAAATTAACTAAGTTATTGTCCAGGTCTAAGATAGTACGAGTTGTAAGTGCGTCAATATATTTCGTACAAATATAATAAATAAAACAAAACTACTCATACAAACCAGATCAAATAGACAGGCGCAACAACAACAATTTATAGACGATATAGAATACGTGAATAGATTCACGTATTTAGGAATGGATCTGGTCGAAAATAATGAAGAAGAACCGGAAATAAATAGAAGGCTTATGCTGGCAAACAAAGCCTATTTCGCGATGGGCCACATATTCAAATCGCGAGACGTACACCGGAAAACAAAACTCCGGGTATATAAAACAATAATCCGACCCATAGTAAGTTATGGGTGTGAAACATGGGTTATAACACAAAAATCTACCAATGCATTAGACGTGTTCGAAAGAAAAATATTGCGTAGAATACTGGGTCCAATAAAGGAAAATAACAATTGGCGAATTAGATATAATAACGAAATATACGAATAATACACTGAACCAACATTAGCACAATACACTAGACTGCAGAGATTACGATGGGCAGGGCATGTGGCCCACATGCATGAGAACAGAATCCCCAGAAAATTACTAAACGCAAGAATGCAAGGAAAAAGACCTGTTGGAAGACCAAAAAAGAGATGGGAAGACGAGGTAGATGAGGATGCCAAAAATCTCCTAAAAACGCGTTCAAGGAAAAGAACAGCAGTAAATAGAGATGTTTGGAGAGGTTTAATGAAGGAGGCCAAGGCCCGGCTTGGGCTGTAGTGCCATTGGATGGATGGATGGAGGGGAAAATATAAGTTTTGTACATGCTAGTGATATTCGTAAAAGATACCTATACTGAACAAAAACCGATAGTTTCCACTACTGAAAAAGTTGTAAATGATACTGAACAAGAATCAGTTATACATGTGAACCCCAATAATGTGAGAGGAAAGTATCAATAACAAATGAAGCAGTAGAGAGTCCTATTAGTAATGATGAAGAATGAATTCAATGATTTTAACGAAAATACTGAAAGGATCTTTGATAAAACTGAGATCAGACTTTCTACTACTCTAAAAGTTATTGCTACTTGTTCAGGTAGAGTAATTAAATGATTAATTAATTAATAATTAAAGCTCTTACTAAAGTAAATTTGTAAGATTTGTTTATTTAATTATTTTTTTACTTTTTTAAGCGGAGCAGACTGTTATGAAAGTACCTTTAGAAAAGAGGCCCCTATATTTTATGTAATGTTAGGTAATCTGTTTTATGTCAATTGTGAGGGGTCAATAAATAACTTGAGCCTTATTTATTATAATATTACAAATATATAACAATAAAACACGCAAATATCCCAGGCAAGTAGGAAATTATCTCTAGAATCTTACAGAAGTTACCCGAATAAGACGACACTTTATATAGGAACATATCATGCACGTTCCCTACTATCTGAGGCAAGACTTACTGAAATTGAGTGCGAACTAGAAAACATAACGTGGGACATAGTCGCTTGTAAAAAACTTAACTGGAAAGAGAAAGGACTGAAGATTGACGGTAGAAGATTAACAAATTTCAAGTTCACAGACGACATAGTTTTGTTCTTGGACAACCTCAAGGAAATATGTACAATGTTACATGCACTTCAGTTAGTGTGTGCCAGTGTGGGTCCTAAAATAAACATCTCCAAAACAAAATTCATGACAAACCTAGTACGTAGCGGAAACATCAATATTTTAGATAACGAACTAGAGCTGGTGGAAAAATACATATATCTTGGACGCAAGGTAAAGATCACAAGAAACAACTAAACACGCGAACTACGAAGAAGAATAAACCTACCATGTGTGTTGCCTGTGATGACCGAAATTTTGACATTGACAGCTACAAGTTCTTAAATGCTGCAAATATCTCAGAGGAAAATTGAAAGATCAATGCTGAGTATATCGCTTCGTGAACGAGTTAAAAAATGAAGACTTAAGACGAAGAACAGGAATTACCGATGTAATTTCCCGAATTGCCACACTGAAATGGAACTGGACTGGACACGTCGCCCGAATCAGTGATGAAAGGAGGACGAAGAGATTGCTTGAGTGGGAGCCGAGGTTAGACAAAAGAAGTAGAGGAAGACATCCTACACGTTGGACTGACGATCTCAAGAACATGTCAAGGAATTGGATGAAAAGTGTTTAAGACAGAGTACAATGGACAAAAATGAGGGAGGTCTATGTCCAGCAGTGAACGCAAAATGCTGGGTGATGATGATGATGAAATATATAACACCCATGTCTATAGGTTCTGTAAGTTGCCCATTTATTCTGAATTGTATTTTGTTGTTTTGGTAAATGATATCAATAGTTTTTATGATATTTAGGGGAACTTCTCTATTGTACAGAAGATGGATTACATTTTTGAGTCTTACTCTGTTAAAAGTTTTCTTCAATTCAGACTTATAGTTGTTATAGAAATTTTTACTTAAAAAAATTGTACTCACTGTGTATTTACGCTTCAACGCGACAGTTAACAAACACACAAAATTTGAAATTCACAAAAAGCCAAAAATTTTTTACATTCATATGTTACGTCTTTTATATCTTACCAGATGTTATATAAAATTTCAAAATATATATTAATTTTAAAGATATAATTTTCAGATTCTTTTTACTTTATACCTTTTAATAATATATTGGAACTCTATCTCTTGACAACAACTTTGAATATGAAATAAACCATCTTTATAATCGTCGATTTCTCGTATAAAATATAGTACAGCAACATTCTGAAGAAACTGTACCGTATTTTAATATTAACATAAATTTTTAATGTTTTTATATTTGCCAGCGTTTTGTGTAAATTTGCCTCAGAAATCATCATTAAATGGATTTCTTATCGGGCACAGTTTTTGCTCTTTAACAAGACGAACTGCGAGCGATGTCGAGATTCCTTATCGTTCTTCTTAAGTTTCCAAGCCTACTTTCCTGGTCTGGTTATTTCTCTATACTAAGAAACCCTTTTACACAAATGTGCGACAATCGCTTGCTAAAGATTTTGAGGCATTCCGAAGGTTTATAATCGAAATGTCTGTCAGATCAAGAAAATCTGTCTTCCCTGTTCAAAATAGGGGAGGTTTAAAGTAGGATTTGTGTAACTTCAAACTATTATTTAAATATACAGGATGAAATTATAAATCCGTTTTTTTTTGACATATGCGGCCAGAACAATTAGCGAAAATTCTCGTTTACTCGTTTATAATAATAAATATTCATTTATAAATTAAATATGATTGCTGATGAATTATTATTTTGCAGTATGTCGTGCATTATGTTTTAATATCATTTATAGATATACTCAATCAAATTTTTTTGAAAAATATTTCCGGACTGGAATTCGAAACATCAAAAACAGCTAAATTTAATTACTTATATTTATTACAAGAAAATAGCTTCAGAATAATCTGTATG